TCGCGCAATCTACAGAATGAGCTTTCTTAAAATGATCGTAAAATGCCTGTCGATGTGTGAACGTTAATGGACATCGTAGACAATTATATTCATTCCTTACAAATCCATGAGCTTCAGCCATATGTCTCTGTTTGTATTCATAACTAGGAAATCTTTCAGGACATTCTAAACAGCAATGAGTCATACAACTCTTATCTGTTCTTTGATGTATTTGCTTAGCTTTCATAGATGGAAATATCACTTGACAACGTTTACAATATGCTTTATATTCATTCTCATGTTTCGATCTAACGTGGGTTAACAGACCTGTAGACGCAATGTAACTCTTCCCACATACATCGCACACAAAACTTTGAAAGTGTGTTAATGTGTGTTTATTCAGATGTAGAAGGGATGGTAAATTTTTATTACAAACGGCACAATTCCAATTATCCTTATCAAGGGTGAATGGCATAACACCGAGTGGTGATTCTAAAGCAATATCTTTTGAATGCGTCTCTATTAAATGAAGTCCCATTATTTCCAGAGTCTTGTATTCAATCTGACATAATCTGCATTTCATATTAGTGATATCTACTTTTACGTATTCAGATTTTGGTAGTTTAGCAAAGGCCATATGTAGAGAGAAGGGCTTGTGCTCGTTAGCCATGTGGACCCTGAACTGCTCAGGGTCCTGGTAAAGGTCCCCGCAATACACGCAAGTAACACTCTTCACGTTGACACGAAAGGGACTCGCTGTAGTATATCTTATGATAATCTCTGCATTCCTCCTCACAGGATCACATTTGTCTAGAAAAGAAAATATCTCGTTGTGATTTCCGTATTTTCCATGTTCTTTCTAGATGATTCGGCAGATAAATCATGTTACGAGTCAGTAGCAATAAGGAACTTTCTAGATAAATCACCAACGATCATGCATCGATATAAGTATAGTTATAGATGAGAGCAAGCGAGAGGATATCCCTCTCGCTTCGTAAGAGTACACTGACTTACTCAACTATCAACGCATAGCCAAAACGTCTGGGTCTAAAGACTTGAAATTGCTGTTACTAAGTAGGCGACTACTAAGAAAATATTTTTCGTAATATATCCCCAAAATATACAAAATGGGGGTCCAAATTTTGTATGGAGCAACGTTACATCTATTCAAATTCAAAACGTACCATAAAATACCTATAGCTCCATACAATCAAATGCAGAATGCCCAATTAACAGTAATCGTATTTACCGTGAGTTTCCAAGATCAAAATTAACGTTTCAAAAATAATGATATTTATTTTGTCAATGACAGGGAAGACGATATGTTCTATACAGAAATCATAGTCTCAGAAACCAACAGTTAATCTTTAATATTGTCTATAACAAAAAACATTAGACTGTTTACTTACGTCGATAAAATTTCACTTTAACGTATTTCCAAATCGCATTGACGTAAAACGAAAACGGTTACATCTCTTAAGAACTTTCATAATGTTACACATTTGGTTAGATAGTATCTAAACATCAAACACCTAAACATTTATATAGTTCATATATTTTTTAATTTAATTTTAAAGAACTACATCCGATGATGCACCGACCGGAGCCGTTTATTTTCAACGTATATGTTATTTCCTTATATCAAAAGATTCACATCAAATAAAATAAGCCGATATAGTACAGACAAATGCCACAAAAGACAACTGCCGTTAGCAATCCGCTCCCAAATCAAACTGCCCCTGCACCGCGCGTCAACAAACAAATAAGTATTGGGGGAAAAATATTTTGAAAATGCCAATATGTTAATTTACAGAAAATCGTGTAGACTTTTGTCATTGAATACTAAATAAAGATATTCTTTGAATTTAATTTCAGTTGTGTTAAAGTTTGGTATAAGTAAAGATAATAATTGGTCATATCATTGCGATATGAAGAGTTCAAAACACGTATCGTATTAAGAGTTGTGGCGACCTCTATCCGCTGGACAGGCGACTGTTTGAAACTAGCAACATTTCTTCGGATACAACAGTACGGATTTCCGAATTTCGAATCCCGCTATTCGACTATTATCGTAAACCATGTTCTAGCACAAGCATAGAGCTCAATTGAAATGGTACAAGAAATGTTAGTAAATTAACAAAAATCTGCTAGTATTTAAAGAAAATAACCTAATAATATCCAAGTTTCTAAAACCGCTAGATTCAGCGTCAATACGGGTTTCAAATAGGCACAAAATACCATATATTATAGCCTGTCCAGTCGAATATAGTAAGGTCAGTGAAATCATATTAATTTGTTTTAATTTCATCAAAAAGTACATTATATAATCAATTCAAACCAACTAAAATACTTGCAGATCACAAAACAAATACACATTTTGTGTAATATCACATTACATTAAAAGAAAATTGCTACAAGTTTGGTGATTTGCTAAAAAACGTCATATGAATTTAGTCAACTGGTATATAAGAGTCAAATTTGTACTCCATTATGACCACGACCACACAGAAGACAGGCGTCAAGTGGAAGCTATTCCGCGTTTCGTCTGATGAGTGTGTGTCCCGGAAGCCTAACTAAGTCCTTTTTCCCTTCCCACCCTTATAAGGAAAGGATGGGAAGTGAAAGTGGACTTTCCGGATGAGAGGATGCATGGAAAGGGAAAATATTTTCATTCTGTGCATCCTCTCCTCCGTCGATTAAAGGTAGGAAACGCATATGCGTTTCATTATATTCATATGCAATTGCGTGTGACTATGGGTAACGGTCACTTCGCTATTTTAGCAATTTCAGGTATAATATAAAAAAATATTGTACTCCATTATGAGAAAATTTCCTCACAAAATAGGACATCATCAAAATCAATGTGGTAAAGTGGAAAAGGTATATTAAAAAAACCTTTCGATCAAAAAAAAATTCAAAATCGTAGCACCGGGGTGGAGTTACGAGATAACACACAAAAAACATACAGACGAATTGATAACCTTCTTTTTGAAGTCGACTAATAAAAAATATAGTAAATTTCCACCAATAGGAGACAAATTAGCTTCCCACCATTCGAGTGTTATCGTAAACCATATCCTAGCACAAGTATAGACCTTACTTGGAATTATACAAGAAATATTAGTAAATAGACAAATAATCTACTAATATTTCTAAAAGAAAAAGAAATCACCATTAATATATCCGTAAAAACCAGTTCACTAAATTCAAAGACGTAACACGAAAGTATCGTATGGATATGCCTTTATCTATATTAATTAAAAAAATATATAAAAAACAAAATAATACTTACCTAAAATCTTGAATCTTCACAGCAAATGTGACAATTTGTCACAAGTAGTAGCTACAATACGTAAGAAAAGGAAAGTCTGATTTTATCTTACTAATATTATAAATGCGAAAGTTTAGATTAGTCTTTCTCAAAGTGTGCGATAACGCCCCCTTGTGGGCGCTGCAGGTCTCAAGTTGCGGGTTATAGTAAAAGTTTCGTTTAGAATTCTCCGTTAATATACATATATAGGTCACAATAATTAATTAATTTAATTTGAAGTTATAGTGCTTTTTAAATATGTGAAAATATGGGGACGTTAAAAAAATATTTATTCTCAAAGTGGGCAGTAGACAAAATAAGTTTGGTCACCATTGCTTTAGATGGATGTTTGTTTGAAAGTATTTCCAGTACAGCTGCATGGATCTTGATGAAATTTGTCTTACATATAGAACATAGTCTGGAAGAACACATTGACTACTTATTAAGTTGTTTTTTTGGAGCGGATGGAGCTACGGGCGACGGCTAGTTACAATGTATTTGTTAAAACATCTCGTTTGTTGATTTACTATACAAATTATACAATATTACATCATTTCATAATTTAGATTTGACCTGATTTTAAATTTTACTAATATGCTATAAATGCTAAAGTTTGGATGTATGTATGTTAGCAGGTAACTCCAAAACAGGTAGCTGAACGAATCTAGATGAAATTTAGCACAGATACCTAAAATAGTCCATAGGTTGGGAAGCTGAAAATAAAAACATCTGAAAATCTCCACCTATATCAAAAGTAAACACAGGAAAATCACACAAAAAATACAAAATTTATAACACACAGAAAATACACAAAGATTTAAAAAATACAAGACTGATCAAAATATGAAAAACAATTTCAATTTTTTTTTAATTTAAATAAAATTATTTTATAGTAAAGACATGTCCATACGATTCTTATGTCTACACTAACATTAACATGCAAGTCACCATTGACAGATATTTTATTGCAAAATATAAAAAAAAAAAACAAATATTAACCTAATAAGTTTTAAAAAATTCCATTGAAAAAATCACTATTGGCAAGTTACACTATACCCGGGTGACATAGCTTGGATTTTTTTTTTATTCCACAGGGAAAAAGTCATGGGCAACTGCTATATGATAATAAAACACATACCTCAGATTATCTATAGCTTCCCCTTAGGGGAAAGATACAAATGAAATGACATTTGTAAAAATTATTTGAGTCGTCCAAAATTTGAAACATCAAATGTTTTTCATCATAAAATATTAAAAACAAAACTAAATTTGAGATATAATATAATATTAAAATCAACAGAATAAAATCGTTAAAAAACATATGCAATAAATTATCTGCCAACAAAATAATCAGACAAAAAAACTGCTCTGAATGCCAAAAAAGTCATTTCAAAACGAGCCTGTAGCAGGCGAATAGCAACAATCATCAATCGATTAAGTGCTATTATATTTACACAGGCGCGAACATATTTTTTAATTTGCGATTTTTAAATAACCATAATTTACTTTTTTATTATATTATAATCAAAACACCTAAAGCATTTCTTTATTAATATACAATATTTTTTCTGTTCATCAAAAGAGTTTTAATAATATCACACCTTCATAATACAGGTAGTAAAGGGTTAAATTCTGGACTTTCCTACATATATTAAATAAAGCATTCAAAACAACTTTCTTTATCCAATTGAAATTCAAATTAGATGCTTACCTTTTTTTTTCTTCTCCGGTTTATCTTGATTAGCTGTCGCTTTTGTGTCTTTCTTCTGTTTAGCCTTCTTAACTGGTGTGGCTTTAACTTTAGTCGTAGACTTGCGTTTCTCAGCCACTTTGGCGTTATCAATCAAATCCAATAAATCCACAGTTTCTTTCTTTGGTGTTTTTGCGAGTTTTGTTAAGGGTTGATCATCTACTAGAAGCAAAAGTTTTATTATAATTTAAGTTATAAAATATTAACGAAATCTAATTGATAGCCCAAGTTGGACATGAAAGGCCTTACAATTACAGATACAAGAGAAAATACAGTTAAGATTTATCATCATCATCAGCTCACTATACATCCCCACTGATGGGCTCGGAGCCTACCTTAAGTAAGGTGATTAGGCCATAGTCAACCACATTAACCCAGTGCGGGTTGACTACACACATATCTTTGAATTTCTTCACAGATATGTGCAGATATCACAATGTTTTCCTTCACCGTAAAAACATCAAACAAATGTACATATGTAAATCGAAAATGGCAATACACATTGGTACATGCCAGGATGTGAACCCGGGACCAGCAGAATACAAGTCAAGTGCTGAAACCCCTGAGCCATTAATGCTCTATTTACATCCACCAAGTTGTAATATGTAAAACCTACTTACTCATAGTAAAACAAACATGACAAGAATCTTGTAATTTTAACCATCTATTGAAATTCTATGTCACTAATACCCAGTACCAAGTCAATGTTACTAATATTATAAATGCAAATGTCTTACGAATGGATAGATGTTTATTAGAAGATATCTCCAGAACATATGCATAGATTTTGCTGAAATTTGTCATAGATGTAGAACATATGCTACTAAGTTTTTAATTCCGCACAGACAGTCACAGACGACAGCTAGTAAATCTAAAACAGAATACTTACTATCATCATCAACATCATCATCGTCTGTGAATCGTGATGGTTCAAAGTCATCATCATCACTATCCTTTTCTAATTTAACAAGCTCAATCTTCACCTGCTTCCCCTTTAATATAGATTCCCGAGACACTGAAAATTTACAATATAGATAAACAAATCTTCAATCTATGACCCCAAAGGTCCCATACCCCAAGCATCAATAGCCTTTAGTTAATTGACTTAACGAATTTCGGATCGCGAGGTCAGCGGTTCGAATCGCGCTGTTCGACTATTGTAAACCATGTCCTAGCACAAGCATAGTTGAAATGTTATAAAATGAGTAAATTAACAAAAATCTACTAATATATTTTAAAAAAGGAAAAAAGGAGGCAGAAAAAGCCCATAACCACAATACAAAAGACAGGTGTGAAGTAGAAGCAAGCATTTCATTTGAAGTTTTCCTTCACCGTAAGAACATTGGATAAATGTACATATGCATGCAAAACATTGGTTGCCAGGATTCAGGCCTAAGACCTGCAGATTGCAAGTCAAGTGCTTAACCCCAGAGCCACTAACGCTCTTAGCTCTAATTATTGTTTACTGTATAATAAGATTTTAATAGGATTTACTACACTTACCATCTTCAGCAACAATACCAGAGGTACTGGGGTCCAGGTGTTGTAGAAATGTCTTCTCACACTCCTGCACTTGGCGCTTGAAGTCAGCTGCATCACGTAGCCGTGATATACAAGGCTCGCAGATCAAGCGACTGTTACTGTTTGGTCCACCCGATTGTGAGTAAGCAATCTAAAACAAATGTGCCATATTACTATACTAGCTGTCGCCCGCGACTCCATCAGCATGAATTTATGAAAAAAACTTAATAAGTAGCCTATGTATTCCTACAGACTATGTTCTACATGTGTGCCAAATATCATCGAAATTCATTAAGCCATTCTGGAGATACCTTCAAACAGACATCTATCCATCCATCTCAACTTTCGCATTTATAATATTAATAAGATTTGTATTAATAGCAGTGACTTAAGGGATAAGCACTTGATATGTAATCTACGGGTCCTGGGTTCAAATCCCGCCTACCACTTTGTGTTTCAATTTATCTTACATTCTTACAGTGAAAGAAATCATTAAAAAATAAAAAAAAACTTCTTTATTATGATGCTATTTGCTGATATTTGGCAAGAAATTCAAAGATATGTGTAAAGTCAATCCGCACTGGGCTAGCATTGACTATGGTCAAGTCACCCAACTTAGGGTAAGCTCCGAGACCCTCAGCAGGGACATATAGTGAGTTGAAGATGTGTTTTAATATAAATTACAATCTCTGTTTTGTTACCCACTGTTAGAGGAGTTGGAATGTTCCAACCAATTGCTAAGAATATTATTTTTTAAATTGCTTTAAAAGTTATTAAATTGTAGATAAATGTAGTACTTATTGTAACTCGATTATGGTACTATAGTTGATTTATAACAACATATAACAAAGCAAACGTTTTATTTCCCAGAATTTCGAATCTATAATTATTGATTTTATAATTCGGCTACAATGAGAATGTCGTAAACCTGCGCAGTTGTTGAGACAACAAAGAGACTTCCGAATTTAGAGGGGTATTACAAACAACATAGAGAGAAAATGGACGCCAACTAGATATGCAAAAACTTTACTAATTTAAATATGTACTTACAGTTAAATTCAATGTATCGGCAAGCATTTCAGCGTATACTTCACGTTTTCCCATCCAGAAATACTCGGTAGAAATGTCTTTGTAACAACCTTCTGTGAGACAACACCGACATACGGTAGGGCCCGGTCGCCATTCTGATGTTTTTGCTTCCATTTTCAGTAACTTAAGATACTTATTTTATGGAAATTATTACTATCACATACTTTTACTACTAACCTAACTGATGTAATAAATCAATTTCAACTACTTTTCGCCTGCCCATAACAAAATCTACAATCAGATGCCATTGAGAAATAATGAATCTCAGACGCCATAAAAGCCTAAACGAAACGCCAACTGACTGCAAGCTTAGTGATGTGCGTTGCTAGTTGAATCAACCGTGGATATCCTTTCAACGTATAACCGTTTTCACTTATCTAGTTAAATTTAACGTAAAGACATTGATCGTCTTGTATTATTTTTTTCGCTGCCAGTCTTCGCCTCTTCTTTTATTAAATGTTATAGAAACCCTGCAAATAGCCGACTAAAACTGTTTCTATTATTTT